ATTTTATAATTTTATCATAAAAATTTAAATAAAACTTAATTAGAATCTTTTTTTGTAAAAGTTGTGCGATATACATACTATTGTCTTGCTGATCATAAATAAATTTGTTAAAATTTTTATTTGACCCGGGTTATCTGGGGATCAAACTATAAAGGGTCGGGTCAGGGTCAGGTTTTATAAATATTAACCCGGGTATTTGTACAGGTTGGTTTTTATAAACGGGTCGAGTCCAAGTACATCCTCAAACCTGACCTGATTCGACCCTTTCGGAACACTAATTGCATGAAACATGAGATTAATAGCATCACACGTGGCCGGATTGACTATTGGTTACACATGATTTCTGATATTTTTTTGGTTGTTTCATTGATAGTTTATGACGTAATACTAAAAACAATTATTTTGATTATCGATGATTATTTTATTTTTTTTCGTTGAATTTTTCTTTCTCATTTTAAAAACTTGCTATTTATATAAATTACGTTAATATTATTTTTTTATATATATAAAGTTTTTGGTTTATTTGAAGTGATTACTGCGCTATTATATCTAATCAACTATGTAAATGGTGTCATATATTTACATTGAAATATTTTTAATAGTTATCTTTATAATCTAAATTTTATGAAGCTTGCTAAGGTTATCTCTTTAATGTAGGGATAGGGATGTTAAACAATCTTTAACTGGATATCAAGTAAATTGTTTAATTTTTTTCAAAGTTGTATACATATATCACATGATAGTTTTCCTAATAAAAATATAAAGTCTAATTCCCTCCTTTTCTACTAAATTTTTCCATAGCCATTTCTTATTTTTATTTTTTAAAAAAAAAACCAATAATCGGTAGGTCTCGATACAAAGTGTCATTTTACTTTCTTACCTTTTTAAAATATAAGAACGAGGTATTGTTTACATTCATGGTGATGAGTATTATTGAGTTTCGTACTCGCTTGTTAATTCCGCGATCTTACGAGAATATGTTTACATTCCAAATACTCTCAGATTCCAAACCATATCCAAAGATTTCCGCAGATGAGTCAACTTTTATTGTGTTTTGCACTTGTTTAGGCGAAGCTTCGGCGTAAAAGGTTAATCAGCGACTAACGAGGATATGTTTACATTTTTAAAACCTCCCATATCCTAAATTTTTTTGAAAATTAACCAGGTTGTCATTGGGTAACGGGGTGTTAGACCATGAAACTTGAGAAAAGCTACCACATCCAAGGAAGGCAGCAGCAGTATCATCATGTAAGTATACTTACTTAGTTATCGTCGTCTTGTCATTTTAGCAGTAGGGTGGTCCGAATATTGTTAAGAGAAAAGATACCATCCACGCCGACAAAGCACGATAGGACTACATCGTGTCCCACAAATGAAATTATTTTCATTTAAAATCACGAGGGGGGTTTCGTTGGTGATGTGGTGACATAGCTGTGTTTGAAGGGTGAACTTTATTTAGGAAAATAAATTTTGTAAAGAACTGTCTGATTTATAAATGGTCAAAATGGTAGTAGTTTAAATTAGTGGTTAAAATGGAGGGTCGGTTAAATTAGTCGATTCGGTATAAAATGATATAAAGTTAAAAATTTTTGAATAATATAATTAAAAAAAATTTATGAACTTTTAAAAAATCAATTTTAAAAATAATTATTAAATTAAATTCGTTAATTTTGTAATAAATCATAAATATTTAACATATACTGTATATCAAATAAAGTTTATACTGTAAAATATTTATAATTTATTTGTGCGGAATTGTTTGATTTAATAATTATTGGATTGCATAAAGTTAGATCCTGTTCACTCAGTATTACTAGATCTTTTAGTCGACAGAAAGCAAATATTTTTTGGAAATAATATCAAATAAAGTTTGAATTTATATTGTACAATATTAAATCATAAGAGTAGTGATGCTATTGTTCGCCTTAATTTTAATGCAAATAAAGTACGACGCAGTTGATAATAATGTAACATACGTTGCGGCAGAATTATTTGCTTATCAAAAATAATGGGCCAAGTATTTTATTTTTATTCATTCACGTTTTAATTATAACCCAATGAGAAGTTTTATTATAAGAACATGCAAAAAAAAATATACATATCGGGAATTCTAACAGAAGATTCATGACGATTCTAATTACCTACGATTCCATCTGGCGATCAAATGCAATTTTTATTTTCCCAAGAAAGTTCTTAAGTTTTTCAATCATAATTTATTTATTTTAAACACGCTTCCTTTAATGGGGAAGTAAATGGATTATGTGAATCAGTATCGTTACAATCGTAAATACTAGATTACTCAGTTACACATATCGAAATAATACAGTCCAAGATTCATTGTGGTCGCATTTTCTTTTATTATGATGAGATAAAGCTTGTAACTTCTAATAAATATCCTCTATTCTAATCGTATCATGTCCACTGACCCTTTCCCATTCAGAAATTTTATAATCAATGCCATGAAGAACTGATGAAATCAATTCGGATTATGTTGATTCGTTTGTGAATGTAATTCTTTATAATATCTTCCACAATATAAACTAATACTTTTTTACATTCGAATTTTGGTAGCCATTATAAATGCGAACAATGATTTGATCTTAGGAATTGTTGTGTTGCAAAAATACAAGATTAAATCTGTGGTGTAAATTTTTTATCGAAAAAATTCACAAACAAGTCCAGATTATAATTGTCAAATAATCATTTTCGACTAAACGAACACATATCTTTGCATTACTACCATCTAAGAAGGTCACCAAGTTCAAAGCCTTGACTTCACTGCTGATATAAATTTATGATTGATTACAGACATTTATCAATCTAATATTCGATACAGTTTTTTTCTTTCAAAATTCGGAGTTACACAATTATATCTTTTGGTAATAGAATATGTCATTTATTATGTGCACGATCAGATTCCAGCAGATCTTCATAAGTTAATGTTTTAATAGTAGTCTTTTATGAAAAATTGGTGTAAAATTTTTAAGTATTCCAATGACAGAAATCATCATTTTTTAAGCTACACGGTCTAAATAAGAGTGCGTTTAATGATTAAGTCGCAGTAAAAAAGTAGGTATTACAATTCGTCTGAGGAAACCTAATTAGAAAACTTCAAGATGGTTTAAATATTTCTCGCTCGGTCCAATAAAAGAACGCTACAAAAAATATACCTTTATTTCAAGATACAAATCAAAATTTTAAATATTTTAAAGATATTATTATACAGTTTATTTATATGTAATTAGGTCCTCACTAACTTCAAATGAAAAAAATCCTCTGATGACAATATATTATACTTGAATTTTTATAAAATTTTTCAAATAACTCCTTTTATTAATGAACTAATATGTTTTAAAATAATAATTTTCTTCATAATTCTAAATAAAAAAAAAACGAAATGTTTTAACATATCTTAAAATTGAATTTACTTCTTAATAATTTGGAATACTTCATAATCTTTTATACATTTATACATAAGAACTTTTATGACTACAATAATTTGAATCATAATCTGTTAGTTCATATATCCACCAACTATTTCTTATGTTCCTTTTATTTTAATGAAGGTGACAGTCATAGGCTTATTATCAAATAATGTGTGAAACGCTTTAGGAGTAAATCCGACTCGACTTCCTCTCAATAGTAATTCAAAATTATATGGCAAATATAATTCTCGATTAAATTCTTTATCTATATGTTGATTTTGAAACTCATAAATATACTTTTTAAATTTTTTTTTATTTCATTACCATTTATTATCTTTGCATTACTTATAGCTAAATTAAATTTTGCATTAGTATTATTGTTATCTGCAGTTTGATACTAATTAAGCCTTCTGTAAATTTATCAGTTCTTTGTTGGATAAAATGCATTACAGCTTTAGCTCGTCACAAAATCAAATTAGTTTTACATTTATATTTCCTCCTCTATATAAAAAAAATTATCACGTGATATTACAATTCATAATTGAAGTTAATGACAGAGAAACAATTTGATAACTCACTTTCATAATTTGCATTATATCTTACCCATTTGAAGACTAGAGGAAACTTCGTTCACACTTTCGATACTATACCACCTCTTCTGGTAATATTGGAAATTCATCCTTTAAATATCATTAAACCGAACCGGACTCATATTAATAACGTAAATTTGCTATAACCTTCCAAACGAACTTTCATAAAATTCAACTGTTTCCGATGGACAATACATCTGAGAAAGTATACGATTAAATTCGTATTCCAACTTTGATACAACGACAAATTCATCCTTGCGGATTTTAAAGTCGGCTCGTTCGATGAAAATCGCGAATTGTAAATAACAATTCTTGAGGCGTAATTCTATCTTGATGAGCCTTGTCCAGCTTTTCGGAATCAGATCTAGGAAGGCTTTCAAATAATGAAGCTTAAATGCTGTAGAAAAAAATTCCGAAATACAATTCAACTTTAATGTGGTTTTCAAACGGGATGGCTACAAAACCGCGCGATGGTGTGGCTCTGTACGAAATAATTACTGTAATTGCGATGGCAGTTAAAGCGTCTATATAATAAGGAGGATATTTTAAAAGATTCCAAAATACCTGACGGAAAACTGCAACTATAATATTGTAATTCGGCATTTCTTTTTAAGCGTTACCAATCTGGGGATTTTTACAGCAAATTTCATAAATTACGGGACACCTGGCAAAATTTTTGCCGAGAAGTTGCCGGGTTCTCGGGTTCTCGGGTTGAAAAAAATAATAAACTCGTGATATTAGCCAATCAATTTTGTATTTTTTTTTTTTTATTATATCGCTCCGGACAAAAAAAAACACTGATTTATTGTCCGGAGCGATATAATAAAAAAAAATACAAAAAATTGATTGGCTAATACACGTGTTTATTATTTTTTTCAATTTGCCGATAACCCCGAGGACCCGAGAACCCGGCAAAAATTTTACCAGGTGTCCCGTAACTTATAAAATTTGCTGTAAATCAGTCTTTCTAATTCGTGTGTATGGGCCTAACGCGTGAAATCTTCTCCAATTTTAAAATATCACAAGTTAGGCCTCTACACACAGCAAAAAGTGTATTTTACCCTGCTTTGTTTATTTTTGTCTCTTAAATCTTTCCGAGTCCTTATTTTTCGTGGCATTTAGCGAATTGAACTACCACTTTCGGTAATCAAACTGCTTTACAATAAAATCTGAAAGGGAGACTGACCGCCGGAAATCGAATTTTATGCTATTATAATATCCAGCAATTGGTAGCTCATCATCCATTTCGTGGAATTGAACAAAAATATTGCCAGAATTTTATTTTTTTATTTAAAGTCACCAATTTAAAAATTAAAATTGAAAAATTTGGAAATTTCTAGATTCAATTCTTATCATCCGCACTACCAGGAATAGTATTTGGTTTTTAATATTTCATTAGTTTCTCTATATTCTTATTTTCTTATTTTTCATATCATTATTATAATTATTTATTTTTAATTTAGTTAGTTTATAATTTGGATATTACATTTTGCGTTTTATTTTTATTCCACTTATACAAGTAAAATCCTCCAAGTAATAGAGAAATAACAACGATAAATGTTCCTATAGATACACCGATTATAACTGGAGTTGCTTGGGAATCTTTCAAAGAATCATTTGGAGAAGTTTCATTTATAACATTTGGATTAAAAATGTTTGTCCAAATATATTCCTCATTATTACTTATATCAAGCAATAAAATATCAGAGTCAACATTTCTTTCAAAACAAAATCCTAATAAGTTTATTATTTTGTAAATAAAAAGTAAAAAAATGACAAATTAAAAGAAATAAATAAGATATTTACCAAATGATATAACCATATATCTTTCAATCACATTCGCTTGGTGCCAAAACCTAGAACCTGGAATTGTCCCAGAAACTTTTGGAATGGACCATTCAAAATTTACTAAGTCCAAAACATAAAGTGCTTCTCGAGGTTTAAGATTATTAAGATTATTAATTCCTTCAAAAATTATTATTCGTTGCCCATCCAATCCTTTATTAACAATTAGATAATTCTCAATTGGTTAAAGTTTGGTATACTATGATTATTATTATATTTTTTAATAAAATGCTTACCAAGAACAGAAGAGAAGAAATCTCTATCGGACGGAATTGTACCAGTATTGACCTGATTAAATCAATTATAGACAGGTAAAATTTATACAACTAACAATATTATAGAATCAATTTACTGTACATACCCTTGTAAGCCACAGATTACCAATCATGTCATAGTAGTAAATCTAGTTGTTATGTTAAATTTAAAATCAAAATTTTTATAATTTGATTTATTTTTTAATAATTCACCTCTTTCAATGATAAAGATATACTATCACTAATAGTTGTGCCATAAAAACCACCTAAATAAATAATGTACTGCTTTGAGACGTAAATTGCGCCATAAACAGCTCTTGGAGAAGGCGCATTAACTGTCGTTCCTATTTCCCATTTCAAACTTATTGTATTTAAAATGAGCATATCATTATAACGAGTGACATTGAAGCGTCCACCGAATAAATACATTTTCCCATTATTATCAACTATAGCTTTTAGGTTATTTTTTCTAATAGCACTGTCATTAGCCCAGTTTATGCTGCTCCATGAATTACTCTGTGTATCATATGAATAGACTAAATCCATTGTTGCATTATTATAAGCTTGCCCTCCATAAAAACAAGGTTTTATTATTTGCACTACCTCTAACAGTTGCAGCAGAAAGATGTGCTGGAACTTTATTAATGTTTGTTAAGTCATGACATAATATATTTTGAGTATTAAATGGAACAGAAACGTCAGGATAAAAAAATTCAGTCCCAATTTTTACAGTATTCGCGTCATCCCGACCACCTAAAAAATATATTTTATTATCAATAAGTGTAGCAGTGTGACCATATCGTTGTATTGATTAAAAGGAGTCGTTTGACAATTTACTTCAATAAATAATTGAATTAAAAGCCATAATATATTATATATGGAATTGTTCTTTGACATGATTGCTTTTTTAAAGACAATTTACGAAAAGTTAAACTTGTTACACGAAAAAGTTATTTATGTTGCAGTTATTGTTTTGTTACATTGCAGAAATTTGTTTACATCATACGAAAAAATATTGATTTCAGTGGTGTAGATCCTTCCTTTTATAGATCATTTTGCCGGAACTCCTTTTATTTTAGATGATACTGTAACAAGCTTCATGTAACACAAAGATAGTTTATAATTTTCCCGTCTCTCAAAGCAGAAATTACATTCTCTATTGTCGGTAAGTTGCAGATAGGGATGGACCGGTTAATGAGAAGGTTCCGGTCCATATTCTAAAGACCGGAGTATTTATTAATATATGCACCTTAATTCTCCCTTTTCCCTTGTGATATTATCACTTACGTAATGTTAACTTCATAACTTCATAAATTTTATGCTATAACTTCGTTAATTTCGTTGTTTTAATTTTTATTTTTCTGATCATTATTTTGCATAGGTTTAGTGATTAGCATTTATAAAAAGAATTGCTAAAGTGTAGAGCGCCGATGATGAGGCAACACTATTATTAATTTTATTGAATAACGTTTACATCATAATTATTCATTTGCTGCTTTCATTTAATATTAAATATAAATACATAATTTTTATATATAAAACTTTTTTTTGGTTAAAATTAAAATGTGTCCCGACCGGATGACGTGATCCGAAATGCTGTAATAAATTTCAGAAATTAATAACTAACTACTTTGGATAGATATTTTCTGAAAAATCACACTATCTCATAAATGGATAAAAATAAAATTGTCAGGAAATGCTGAAATATTTGTTATTTTTAGAATTTATTTAGATAATTTTTAATTGGTTGTTCCATTCAAGGAATATAACAATTTTAAAGAGTACTTTCTAATCATTAATTGTCTTTACTAGTCCGATTAACAATGAAAAACCACTAATATAACTGATAAAAGTAGTGAAATACTCAAGCTAGTAAAAAATTGTAATTTAGTGAAACCATAAGCAATATATATTGGTATAAAGAAGAATTTATTATTTCAAAATTTTTACGTCGATATTTAACATTTGCTTAGGTTAGTTGCATGGTATAGCGCTTCGCAAACTTCTTTTACGAATGAAGGCTCAATTTATTTTATATATTTATTTAAAAAAAAAAAACTTTTTTTTTTGTTTTCAGAAATAATCTTTGGTTATAAATTATAAAGAAAATATGACTTTTAGTTCTTTCCCATTAAGGTTGCCTGAGGTTTCGATACTGTCAAAATCGAAACTAATGTTTGCGTATTGCCAAATTTTTTTTTAAAGGCAAATCCGAAAAAGTTTCGACGGTGGCAAACCTTTGATAAAAAATGAAATTTTCAATTAGAATTCGGGTACGTCCTTTTGTAAAAATTTATGCAGGTATAATTGAGGGAAAATTCGTGAAAATTCAAAAATTTATCAATATTTAGAATTATAATCGAATCTTCTAGGTTCGAAACGATCTCTAATTCCAACCTGCTAAAACCAGGCAAATCTTTAAAGTTGTCGAAATCGTAAAGTTATCAAACCGTCAAAATTATTTTCAAAAAGTTTCGACTTTTGCTTAGGGTATTACCACGAAAACTTATTTCCGATTATAGAAAGTCGGGTTCCTTTTGATTATTATTGATTATTGCCGATTTATTTATTAATTTATTTTCTTTGTCTTACGGTACGTTCATATGTTCCGATACTGCATTTCTATTAAGAGAAGTATTTTTTTATTTTTTTAATTTATAAAAAATAATTTCTTTATATTGTTTTATTAGAAATATTATTAAATAAAATGATGATAATCGTATCAGACCACCCTAGTTATTGATAAAGTCTGCCTGCGAAAGATTTTCTCTGAAAATTTAATTAGGCGTAATTCATAATTCCAATCACTCATGATCTACAGTACATAAAAAAAAACTCTGATGGTTTATCAATGCATTTGGGCTACAACTTGCCCAAACTTATTTTATTTACTAGATTTTTTTTATGTCCTCAGAAAGTAATTGAACTTTCCATCCTTTGATTCTGAAGAATATATATATAAGATGGAACAGTTAAGAGGTATTTTTCCTCACAATTTTAAATTTAAAATTTGCGTAAAATTATTGATCATTTTTTTAATATTTTTATTATTTGCCCTTTTATAGTAACAGATCAACAAGATAGATAATATATCAAACGCCCGATATGTCACATGTCGATCATAACAAATAACATTTATATAGATGTCGATCGCCACTTTTTTTGCTAATTTTTTGAATTTTTGTCTCACAAAACGTTCGTTCATCTCACAAAAAAATATTTTGTAAGTTTCAAAAGTTAAACGGTTCGATATTTTAAAAAGTTCTCTTCAAACATGTTGTCTATTATATGCCTATAAACAATTTTAATTGAAAAATATGTTGTACCGTCTTAGGTTTTTGATTTTATTGTGATTATGATTTTTTTTTGGTTTTAAAAAATTTTTCTTTTATTAATTAAGAAATATAATACAATACTAAAATAAAAATTTCTAATACAGCTATTTCATTTTTTATTATAATAAAAATTAATTAAACGCAATAGTATATTTAAATTTTTTATTAATGGAACTATTTAATATATCAAATTTTTTTGCATAATAATTATAGTTTTCAAATTAAAGTTATCTATTTGTTTCTTCCTCTCTATATAATCTATAATAAAGAACTTTATATAATTTTAAATTAATAATAATCTATTCGCCACTACTAATTTATTTAGTTTTTTTTATTAATATTGTCTATTTAGCTAAAATGAAGTTTCTCAAGATAAAAGATAATTACTTTAATAAAATTGTTATATGAGCTTGTCACCATAAAATTTTTTTTTTATTAATAAAATTGATTTTTTGTATTTTACATAAAATCCAAATGAACAATGCACTCTACAACCTTAGAAAATCTCTTTTTTCCCATAAAAATACATATATTTTTCTTATTAAAGTTATATATTTGTCTATTTATAGAAGATCTTGAAAAAAACATTTTTAAAAGCGTGTATCCTATCAATTTCTTAAAGTACTCAATTATAGTTACACGAATTTTTAAATATAAAATGATCTGCGTGGGACATGTCCGGCGTTTGATATTATCACAAAGCAGTGTCACATCCTTGACAAACCACGCCATCACCAATAATTATTTCGAGAACTGTAATTCAACGATACAAAGGCCAAATGCTAAACACAAACATGTGTGCTACAATGTGCAAAAGCAGAGATTTGTATTTATTCAAATATTTTATCAAGAATTAATTCTTTATCGTAATATTCTTTAATTATAACGAATTCTAATAATGTCAAAGAATTATTCGGTATATATCGTATTATTTTGGATCGTAATTCGATTGATAACGAAAGTAAATTGCCAAGCGGCAACTTTTGAGGCAACGAAACGATTTGCTCATACTGCTACACTTATTGATGATAAATTATACATCTTAGGTGGTCGAGATGAAAAGGATGCACCTGATAAAGTTGGAAAAGAATTTTTTTATCTTGACGTCTCCGTACCATTTAATACTCAAAAGATACTATGGCATGATTTAACAAGCATCAATAATGTTCCATCACATCTTGCCAGTTCATCCGTAAATGGTGGTGCAAATAATAAAACCTTGTTTTTATGTGGCGGAATACCTAAATTTGGTGTAGCGATGTCTTTAGTTTATGCTTTTGATACTCAAAGTAATTCGTGGAGCATTCCAACGATAACCGGAGACTATGCCGTCAGAAAAGATAACATAATGGCCGTTGTTGACGGAAATGGGAAAATGTATATGTTCAGTGGTCACCGCAAAAAAGTTTTTTTTGATGATTTTCCCATTTTAGATACGATAAATTTGAATTGGGCAATAGGAAGTGTAATTAATGCACCTACTCCCAGAAGCATATATGGTGTGACCTTCTTACCAAATAATTTCGTTATTATTATAGGTAAGTAATTAATAAATCAATGTAACAATATTAAATATTAACTTACCTCGTTTATATAATTATAATTTAGGTGGTTATGACATTAATAAATCAAGACCATTAAATGAGGTGAAATTATTTATTAAATAATATATTTATTGAAATTTTTAAACTTTGTTTTAACGATATATAAATCATAGGTTTACTTGTATGATACAATTAATGATGTTTGGAGTACAAAGGCAAGTTCATTGTATTTTCTCTAGGAAAGTAATGCACCTTATTTATAGATTTAAAAAAAAAATTAGGTAACCTCAGGTACAATACCATCGGATAGATGTGCATTTTCCGCTGTTCTTGGTAAGTATTTCATAAAACGAATGTTAACTAGAATGTTTTGATCTTTTAATTAATTTATTACGCTAATAAAAGGATTGGATGGACAACGAGTAATAATTTTTGGAGCCCATAAAGACAATAATCCTAAACCTGAAGAACTACTTTATGTATTAAATCTATCAAATTTCGAATGGTATATTCCAAAGATTACTGGAAAACTTCCATTTACTAGATATTGGCATCAAGCGAACGTGATTGGAAAATATATGGTCGTATCATTCGGTAAATATTAAAAAAGTATTGCATAATAAGTTTCAAATAACAATTAATTAATATCATTTAAATATCTAAAAAGGATTTGGTTATTATGAAAACGATGATAATGATATTTTATTGCTTGATATTAGTAATAACGACGAATATATATGGACAAACGATTTTGTTATTACGAAACCAACGGCTACTACTTTAGCACCAAATGAACTAACAGAAAATTCTCCTTCAATACCAAAATCTTCACCAACTAAACCGTCAGTCAATTCAGCACAAACACAAGGAACAACGTTATTATCAATACCTCTGTCAGCAATAATTGGAATAATTATAGGAACATTAGTCAGTGGTATTCTTCTTTCATTTGTAGGTGTTTTATTATATAAACGAATTAAAAATAAAAAGAAAATTAGCAAAGCAATACCGACTCCCGGCAATAGACAAGTTGATGATTCTGAACATGAAATTATAGAGAACCCTACTAGTAATATAAATGATCTTGTACAAGAAATGATCTCAAAACCTCCAGCAATTGATAATCATGAACAACCACCAGTTCTTGTAAATACGACTAATGGACAACAGTTGTTACCCTTTCCTGAAAATGAAAATATAATGGCAACTTCAAGCATCATTAATCGAAGATCTTCGTTACAAAATCTAGATGATGTATTGGAAAATTTTAAAAATGATATGCTTCATGTCGTTAGGCAGGAAATCAAGCAAAATCTAAGTCAAAATAATAAATAAGCTATTAATTAATTTTATTAAATAGGATAAGTTAATTTCAAATATGAAGATATTTTAAAACTTGAAATATTAAATTATTACATGTTTCATATAAGATCGACCTAAATATTTTATGAATGATTGTATTTTAGTTATTAAACTTTCTTTAATTAAAATATTCTTATAAATTTTTTAAATAAAATAAAAAACAAGACATTTTATGGTATTTAATGAATTACACGTCGAAAGATCTGTGGCTAGGTGGCTGTGAATTTAAATACAACACCTGCAAGATAAATGAACGTACTTTTTTAGCTTTTCTTCAATTGATAGTTGTCAAGTGATTAATTGACAATATAATTAATAGAATCCTTAACCCGTTTGAGCTAACTCGGTTACACCATATGGTTGAAGACTTACAATGATCGTCATGACATAACATTCTACTTCTTATTTTATAAGGTAAATGAAATTAGATACGCTACGATTCCATACCATAAAAATGTTTCTTAAACAAATAAATTTGTTACGCTCTAGCACTGCTTTCTGACACTATTACATTGAAGGATTAAATGGTTAAAAGTATACATTGGTTTATAGATACAATTAAAAATAAATTTTACTTATTAAATATTCAACAATAAATGAAATCACAGTTTGTAAGTTATTTACTTCTCTTAATGTTCGGTAATTTTATATATAATTTATTTCAACTAAATTAATGATAGTTTTGCAAGTGGAATGATTGGAAATTAAGTTTATTGTTTACGTAATCTACCACTAAATAGTCAACATTCTTAAATTTATTATAACGCAGGAAAAACGAAAAATAAAAAAGAGGCAAATGATAATGGAATGATTTCCGAGACGCAAATGCTACACTTACTATATAATGCGCAGTTGGATACAAACTATAAAAATTTATTGTAGTATTTATTAACTACTAGATACTTTTTGTACCCTCGTGAAAATTTATATTTTTGAATTCGAGTTAATAGTGAACATCAAAATTTTTATTTACGACCCACAAGTTATTTGATAAGTTCCCGTTTGCTAATTTGCAAAGGATTCTGCTATATATACAATTATTTGACTTATAAAGAAAAAAGCGAGGAAACATTTTAGCAAAATTGATAAATTTTCACATTTATTACTTTAGGCTATGAAAAAAAGCTCAAGATTGAATATTTATTCTTTTATAAAAATGCTTAAAATATGATTCTTTTGAAGTGTCTCAACATCAAATACGACCAGGGTAAGACCTTAAATACTTTTGAACACCTTTTCTTTTGTTCCTTTCAAATAGCCAATCAAAATTTAGTAAATATTTTGACTAACGGAACAGACTCAGAATAGAATGAACGGGGCTTAAAATTCAGGTGTAATTTTTTCTATTAAGGATTAGCGTTAAATTTTTGGTTTCCCACCTAAACCATATCAAGTATGATTTATACTTTTATTTTTTTAAAAAAATTTTTTGATAAAAAATGATTTTGGGGGATTTGTTTGGAATTCAGCGTAAATCAGAACCCAAAGTTGTTCTTATGATGCGTTTATTAACGTTACTTTTAATTTCATTATGGATGTTGATAATTGATGCGAAAAATGAACTTCCTACGATTAAAACTTCGGACGTTCAAGTGGATTCGCTTGCGATAAATAATTTAACATAAGGAAAAAAAATCTTTAAAGAATCACCCGTGAATTTATACAACAATAGATGTTGTGTTTTCATTTGATAATCCATTTCAAATTATTGTAATTTTACTTGGGCATATAATGGAATGGTAATTTACTTTAATGTTTGCAAAGTGTTTCTAAATAATGATAAATATTCCGAATAATTATAATTTATTTAATTCTTAGAGTTTGATCGCAGGACCGAAAAAGAAACTTGTATGAGATATGTGATTTCTCCACAATATAATAAAGGGGCATACCGAGGATATTTTTCTTTAAATGATAATTCAACTTTATTTACTTTTCCTAAACTTAATGAAGAACGGTTACATAGTTTAACATTACAAATGGTGGCCGATTTTAATACTTCCTAAACCAGACCCCACGCTAGTCTATGCATTTGTTTTTGATTCAGGTTGGTAAATAATTCTAGAATTTTTGCATATAATATTGTTAGTAATTTTTTCCTATAAAGTTATCGGACGGTACATTAAATTTAACTGTGTTCAATGTCTCTCAAAAATTTATCATGAACAATCGTTATTATTTAATAATAAGTTTCTAATACCAGATAGAATGGTATGTTTATTTATAATTTATTTTTTTTTTATTTTTTATCGATTTAAATTATTATTAAAAGGGCTGTAATTTGTAAAAATCAAATCAATTTCCTTCTCTTCTTTATTAACATTTATTTTTTAAAAAAAAAAATAAAAAAAAAAATAGCTAAATTTCGTAAAATTTACGAAATATAAAAGGAAAAATATAATTCCAAGCTGGCGAATTGATTTTGGAATGTTTTCAAATTACTGAGAACATACTTATATTAAAGCATTATTGAATCGTAAGTAAGGTATTTTTTTTTTTTTAAAAAAAAAAGAGAGGGAGAGAGAATATGATCTATTTATCTTTTTTTTTAAAAAAAATCGTGTAGAAATAATCCCTCTTAATATAGAAGAAGTTCAAAACGAAGTTTTTATTGGTATGATGATAGTCAAGCCAAAATCATATTGAAACTGATCGTTTATTTTAATTATTATTTTTTTTTCGCATAAGTGTAAATATCTTTTTCTTTGTCAAACCAATTTGTTTTTTCATTTGATTTCTTATATATTTCGAAGATCAAGAACGGTTAGCATTTATTTTTTATATCATTGATTTTTTTTTTTTTAAACTAATAATATAACGTATATTGATCTAGTACGTGAGTATTTTTGGAGTTATCGGCGGTAAGTAAAGTAATTCTACTTATCGGAAGTGAACACTAATCCTAAGCTGGTGTTTTAATAACGCAGGTGCTTGGGGTTGGCTTCGGCGTTCTATATATTTCTATTTGGTAAGAAAATATTTAAAAATGGTTATAGAAAAAAGTTTCATCAATTAATTTTCTTAAAACTTTGTTAGGCGCATCATTAATCCATCCATGGGGATTTGTACTGTGGGATTAAACAAAAACGCAAAGCAGCTTAAGAGATTCATTATCGATTTTACCATTAATCGATTCTTCCGATCGCAAAAGTATGACAAAAAAAGTTTCCATGGAAGAGATGCTGGAAAAATTAGAATTTTTTAGAAGTTTTATTAAGTGAATACATTATTGACATAACATACCTACAAAGCATTGAAAAGAGTAATAATAAAAAGATCTAATGAAACGTTGCATATCGGAAATTTAATGTTTAAGATGATACCCACAATCCATCCAAGAACTAATTGATCACAAATCTTTTAAATCATTTGAATTATCCTTGATCAGCAGTTAATATTTATTAATATTTTTTTTTTTATTGGTAAACATGAGTATTAAATCAAAAATTATTTTTAAAATTATTTATACACGCATAGTTCCCATCTTATAGGGATGGGTCTGTTGTACCCCAAATGCGAAGATCGTTTGGGATATTCGCTTGCCCCAAATGCGCATTTCGGACAATGTCCCAAATGCACGTTTCGGATAATGTCCCAAATGCACGTTTCGGATAATGTCCCAAATGCGCATTTCAGATAATGTCCCAAATGTCATTTCGGATATCACAAAATAGCATTTAGGATATGCCAAAAGACTAATTCAGACTCATTTCGGACTGTCCTAAATGACCACTAATGATTTGAGTATATTAAATGAAAGACTAGTAATTTATATTTTATTTATATTTATTATTTATATTTATAAATCTTTATTTTTATTTAATTTGTAAATAAAAATGTAAACAAACTTTATATTGGCATTTAGAAATCCGAAATGTGCATTTGGGACATTCCGAAATGTTCATTTGGGATATTGTCCGTAATGTGCATTTGGGATAAATGCGCATTTGGGGCAAGCGAATATCCCAAACGATCTTCGCATTTGGGATATCCCAAATGCGCATTTCGGACATTAACGCAACAGGTCTTTGTAGAAAATTTTTTAAATCTTTATCATGAGAACCTGCAAATTGAAAAGTGTATAAAAAGTATTCTTGATCTTAAAACACGAAAATTTGATATAAATAATATTATCAATATAACAGATAAGGTTACATAATTTCAATGCATTTAGTTTAATAAATCTTTTAACATCAAAACAAAACAAAAAATGCTAATGAAAGAGAAGTAAAATATTTTACGTTTAAGTTGATTTACACAAAAAGCTACCTCTCAAAAAGATTTTTCATAATGCCATTATTCATATTTTGCAACTACAGTTCCTTCGAATCACAACCCTCCTTGCAAACTCAAACAACAAATGTCTTCTTTACCAGAGTCAATATTCTTCGCCTAGCAACCTATTTAGAAACCACAGAAACAACCTTTGAGGTTAGTCTGCGCATGAGTAGTTTCACATATATTAATTACAATTGAATCATCATGATGTCGTTGTTGTAAAAAGAGAAGATCATATTTTAAAGATTTATGACAGAATACTTTAATTATGAATCTTTATTTGTGACATAGCAACGAATCTTTAATTTATTAGTTATTTATTTGTCCAGTCTGCAAACCGAATTTTGGCGAATTGTTATATCCGTTGTTACGCCTGAAATTGTGCCGCAACCAAGCTGGAAAACAAATAAACAAATATCTCAAAGGCACTCTCTAAGAGATATTTATAACAGATAAACAATTATTACGATTAATGTGTAGTAGATTCTCATAAAATCTATACGAGTACAAGAAAAAGATAGAAAGTGCAAAATATTATTTTTATTAATTTGTATATTATAATTCTCATCTCAAGACTTTTCTCAGGAATTCTGTCGACTCAACGCCCGCCTAAATTCTTATACAAATTAAATGCTAATACTATGCAACGCTTACAAATAATAAATAATGAAATAATGAATAATATAATAAAAAATAGATATAATGAAAAAATAATAAATATTTATATTAAACAATACATGAGTAATTACTTTGATTAAAGTGAATATTAAATGATCGATCGTCAATGAAATTTTAAAAAATAATATTTATACATTTAATACAAATCTATGTGGGAATATTCATAATTCATCATGGTATCTCTATTTAGCAACGATTTTTAGCAATATAAAAGAAAGATTAATGCAAACTGCCGATGACCGATTTTTATTTTAAAATTAATTTTAAAATTTCTGAATTAACAATTTTTCGTCCTAAATTAATACAAGTTACATATTAACATTTTAATAAGATAAATCCAATTTTTATAAGAAGTTAAAATTTATGATTTAAACTAAACGAAATGAAAAAAATTTTTTCTTGAGAATTAAATAAAAATACATCAAAATGAAAAAATATTTTTATAACATTTTATTTAGTACAACAATATACAATAAAAAAACAAAGTTTCATTTACTCAATTTACCATTGACGATTAAACTTTACTTTATTTAATGCACAGCATTCTTGCAAGGGCCACAGCATTGGTGTGTATCATCCATGACATGCAATTTAATTTGAAATCACAGAAGTTTACTTTGACCCTATAAAAAAAGAATGTCCGGAATTTAACAGGAAAATGTATTGAAATAATAATGTACAAATTCCGAACATTTCCATTGTCCGGAATATGTTCCAAATCTTAGTGGTTTCCGGACATTCATTTTGTCCAGAAAATGTCGTTGTCCAGAATTTCAATATTCGATTTCTTTAGAATGCAAAATTGGACATTTCCAAACATTTTTCAGATAATTTCTGGACATAATCCTGTTTTCCGGACATTTTTCAGACATAATTATGTTTTTCCAAATGTATTCCATTTTTCTGAATGTTTTTAGACATTTTCATTATTCATAATATCAAATTTATAACTTAAT